ATGACCCAACTTTCATTCGTCATCCCATCGGATCGATCATGAGACCATATCAGGAGGATGTGGTTTCCAGCATGCGCGGGCAACGTTAACGTGCATTGCCCGTGGCGCGACAGAGCCCGTAAACACTGCAGGTGGTACGACAAGGATGATTATTATTGGGAATGCCCAAGCTGCAATAATAACTACGGTCAGGCTATGGTCGCCTACGTGCGCCTGGCAAATGTAAATGTGCCACACCGTGGAAGCTGCCTGACAACCGCGGACAGGGGCTTCTGCCCGAATGCCGAACCGGCAGCCCCACCACCTGCGGCGGCAGCTGCTTCCGACGCACCGCCACCTGCGGCGGCAGCTGCTTCCGAGACACCAGCCGCCAAACCAATTGCGCGGCTCCGAGCTCCGAGGCCTGGTTCCAGAGCGGGGCCAACAGCGGGCGCCAGCAGCCACGGCATCGCGGTAGGCAGACATGTTGCTCAAACGGCTGCGGGGCAACCTGCTTCGAGTGGAGCAGGCAGATCGGACGACCGCAGACGACTGCCACAGCTAGTGGCCAGAAGAGGACGACAGCAAGGAGGGGATCCACCTCCACTACCACCTGCGGGTGACTTTGCTGCTCGTCCAAGGCTTCCAGACAGGGCAAGGTTCGACGTGGAAAGTAACCTGCAGAACTTGCGCAGGCTTGACCCAAGCGTGGTAACGCGCGCGCTGCGACAACTACACTTGCGGTGGGTCCACGCCAAAGAGCCCAAGAGGGGACTATGTTAACCAAGCCTGGTCTGGACAGCGTTAGGCTCAACTTGATAAAAGGCGTCTGTGACACATGCCGGGAGTGCAGGGCTTGGGAGGGGCCGGGACATGCCGCCACGCCGTCTACTGCGCTTATTGGCAAGTCTAATGACGAAGTCGAATGCGACCTGATGTTCTACAAAGAGGTACACAATCTTTTTCATTTAATGGATCGCTGCGTTCGATGCGGTGCTGGAATCGAGATACCAGACAAAATCATAACCAGCATCTTAGACGCATGCCATCAGTGCTAGATGCAATTTGGACCCGCCAAGGTAGTGTACTCCGACGGGGAAGATGCCTTCAATAATGACACCGCAAAGGCAGTCCTTAAGGCAAACGCCGCTGAGCTGAGGATGTGTGCGCGTGGACAACGTGCTGCGACAATTGAAGCCATAAGTGGTATACTACGACACCTACTTCACGTCATGGAGGCTGAACTCAACAGGCTGGACATACCTATTGTGTTCACCTGTCTACTGCATGAAGCCTTCTTTGCCGCCGAAGCGTTTACCTTCTACAATGAGTTATCTCCATGCAGCGCCCTTTTCGGCCGACAACCTGCGGTGATACCCGATTTGCCTGTTCCGGGCCGCGAAGAGCAGGCGAAAACATCCGACCGCACTCGAGAACAGACTATTCGCCGTGTAAGCTTTGAGGCTATCACTCAAGCCACTGCAGTAGCGAGGACAAACCGTTCACTACGGACCAATCTTACAATCACTTGTCAGCATTACTATGGCGCAGGAGATCTGGTTGATTATCATCGTCCCACTATTGCGAAAGACGACAGGGGTGGCTGGAATGTACCCATCCCAGCTGTGCGGAATGATCCCGACAGGGGTTAGATTATCATGAGTGGGGAACTGCGATGTGCGAGTCCAGTACGGTGACGCACGACACTCATTATACATTGACGCTTTCATCGCTCGAGAGATTGGCTGGGGCAGCACAGCAGTATGGACTGTGTTGACATTCGTGGCCAGGCTACCTGCGGGGTTACGTGCACTGACATTTTGATACCTTCCGACCAAGAAGGGAGTGCTCCAGATAACGAGTGCAAGCCAAATATCTCCTAAGGTACACTTAGCTCTTAAGTACTTCAGCAGGAACTTCTTTCGTATTGAAAGCGTGCTTTTTGCTAGGTTGGCTAGGAGTATGCACGAGATACCTCCGGTGACGCATGCTAACAGTTGTACGGTGGTGCACTGAAACAGCGACGTGAGCTCAGGCTTACTACTACGAAGCCGAAGGCACTGCCCCCAACATGCAAGGTTTCATTGGATGAGCACAGTCAAGGATCATCCAGTGCCTGAAGTCCACCAAAGCGCAAGCGGGCTTCGACCAAGACATGACGATCTTCGACGAGCTGGCCGACTTGCCGAGGCAAGGCAACGACGCCAGGGAGGCCCCAGAAGTCGAACCACCACATGAAGACGGACGGCTTCCCACCATGCATGAGGAATCAGAGGGGACCTCGAGGCGCGCATTATGGAAGCGTGGTGCGCAGAACTACAAGACGAGACGGAGCTATAGGAGGCATCTCCAATAGACGAGCTCTATACCTTACCCGCACAAATAGTCATTGACAACAGGGTACTGGTTACAGTAGCTGATGAACAGAGGGGGGCACCTGCCTACGTGGGGTAACCCACAGGACATAGACACTACTGGGACTTATCATGCTCCATTGTGCTCCACGGACGAAGACGACGCTTGCGGACTGAACTCTGACGAGCACTGGGAATGCGTAGAACTCTGTTTTTACGGCAGACATGTCATAGTAGTGTTCTCCGAACAACAACGCAGGATATTCGACTTCGACCGGGTGAACGCTATGCGAGTAGATGTGACCGCTGCAGCTGAACGAGCTGTAGTCGTCAAGGAGGACGACCCTCGCGCGAAGGCTGATATCCAGCCAAAGCCAGTCAAGTTTTCGAATACCTTTTAAGCTGAACTCAAGATATGGTTTGACAACATGTGCTTCCATATAACAGATATTTCCAAAGCGTCAAACTTCATGACTTCGAGATGCGTATATAAGTGGAAGTCCGCCAAGCACGAGAAGTGCCATCATATTACCCATGGTCCGATGGGTCTTCATGGACCTCGACGCCTTCGACGTGGAGACGTTCTCAGGAACGGCGCGGCGGTCAAATTAGCGACTACTCGCCAGCGCGGCAGCGTGCATGAAGCAGTGGGTGATTGCTTCCCTCGACATCAACGTGGCTTTCCCGAAGGGACTCACCTATCAGGAACTTGCTGAAGCAACTGGTGAAACTGGAACGTGCGGCGTGCTTTACATTGCCACTTGGGTCAGCATCTGTGCTCAGGTGCCTCCCACTATTCGAGCGCTACGATGAATCGAGGCACTGTTTACAGCGCTTCCAACCAGGTATTGGCACCAAGGATGCAGAGAGAGCCTTGTCACTGAAGATCAGAAAGATCACGAGAGGGCTTGGTCCTAAACCAGCGTCCTACGACGACGAAGAGTTTGAGACAAGTTCTTGCCTTCTCACAGCCAGGATGTTGATGACATAAGCATGGCCAGTACTGAGGACACTATCGGCAAGTATTTCAAGAGTGTTGACGGTGCTGTTGGTAAGTGTAAACTCAACAAGCGCGCATTCCAACGACGCCGTGGGGTACGCGAAGGACGGCGACGGCGATGCTACATTTGACCAAGACGAATGTATAGGACAGCTCCGTCCTATCCATCACCGCGAACTCACGGGCGCAGTCGCTGAGGCCGAGGCATCGAAGATGGTCGCCGACATGTTTGTCAGCCTCAGAGGCGCTTTGGCTTGCGCCCTTATCCCGCAAGTTTGGTTAATGGCATATGTTGTATCGGTGCAACGTGTCCAAGAAACGACCGACATGCAAGTGCAACGACTACGCGCGATTTCCAGGGAGTTGCAGGCCTGCCGTAGGAAGAACGTCTATCAAGCGATGACTCCGACGGGCGAGGTCGACCTGCACAGCGACCCCTGTTACCAGTATCTGAGCGGAGATTCCGGAAACGAGGTCAAAGGCCACGGTCTTCGCGGGGCAAACCTGCTACGGCGTGGGCGCGCGCATGCTGGTAAGCCCGTCGTCCATCTTGTCGACGCGTGCTGCGCGTCTCATCGCTTGCAGGTCCGCCCGAGCTACTCCGCGGAAGCACTCGCAGCAGCCCGCAACTTGGGAGATTGCTATCCCGCGGTCGTTTGTTTGCGCGAACTCCAAGCAGGGCCGCCGACACCTGCTAAATTGAAGGACATATTTGAGATGGGCGGCCTGAGAAATTATGGTCACGTTGATCATCGATGCAGAATATGTCTTCAAGTCCGTGTCAAGCAAAGACTTGAAGAAACCGACTGCGTGTGCAATTTTGGGGCTCATCAGTTGGATACGACAAACGATTGGGCGAGGTATTGTGCACTGTGTACAGTGGTTTGACACTCGCGATCTGACTGCGGACGGCCACACCACAGGGAGCATCGACAGAGACATGCTCCTACAAGTTATGGGAGGAAAACAATCAATCAATAATGACCTAATACGACACACTCCATACAGGGCTGACCAGACAAGATCGTATGAGCCGCCTGAAAAGTAGCTATCAGCAGGGTAGCTTGCCTGCAAAGTACCTTGCGTGCAAGGTAGCTTGCATGCGGGTCAACCTGCCTTGTTGAGCCCGCCTGCTGCTGCCTACCTTGTGTATCATAGTGTTCTGCTGTATAGCTGGCGGCGGACTCACGCTACTTCTCCCCCCCGATTCTACAGGAGGCTGGGCAAAGGAGAGAGGTAGCGAGCGTTTGTCCGCGGCCGTTTGGAATCAAACGGCCGGCCGCCAAGATATGACTGCGCCTCATCGCGAGGCACATTATTCGCCATCAAGACCGACAACATCTTCGCTTGACATGGCTCGTCACGCCCGCGACTCATTCCTGCTCTTGGGACTATCGTTACGGCGGTACAACAGAGTTGGATATGGGCTTCGCTTTAGGCGAAGCATCTGGTTGGGCCTCCCAACACCCTTTCAAACCTGATGATGATAACTCTGATAAGGGCGTTGTGGTTGATGTTGGTGATGCTGATGGGGACACCAATGATGTTGATGATGCTGGTTGTAATCACGAATGACGATGACGGTGGTGATGATACTGATGAGGATGAAGATGAGGACGAGTATGAACATGAGGAGGAGGCGGAAGAAAAGGAGGGCGGCCCGCCAGGAGGGCCGCCGACGGATGGCGACGACGCGCCGGGCGGGGCCGGTTCCGGAGACGTGGCCCAGGCGGCGCGCGGCGGGGCCGACGCTGGCGACGACGGCAACGCCTTCGTTGGTCATTCGTCATTTGTCGTTCGTCGTCGTCGTTGTCGTCGTTGCTGTCGTCGTCGTTGTTGTCGTCGTCGTCGTTGTCGTCGTCCTCGTCGACGTCGTCGTCGTTGTCGTGTTCGTCGTCGTCGTCGTCGTCGTCGTCGTCGTCGTCGTCGTCGTCGTCGTTGTCTTGGTCGTCGTCGTTGCCTTGCTCTTCGTCGTCGTCGTTGTCGTCGTCGTCGTTCGTCCTCGTCGTCGTCGTCGCTGTCTTCGTTTGTCGGTCGTGTTCGTCGTTCGTTGTTTGTCGTTCGTCGTCGTCGACGTCGTCGTTGTCAGCGTCGTCGTCGCAGTGGTCGCCGTGGTCGTCGTCGTCTTCGTCGTCGTCGTTGTCGCCTTCGTCGTCGTCGTCACCGTCGTAGATACTCGCTGCGCACGTGGGCTCTTGGTCCGGGCAGTCGGCCCAGACACGGTGAAGCATTCCTCGTGCTGCTGCTCCTGCTGCTTCCGCTTGAACTTTTTCCGGTTGTTGCTTCGGAGCTGCAGCTGCTGCTGCTTCTCCTCCTCCTCCTCCCTTTTTCCTCGTCCCCCTCCTTTTCTTCCTCCACTCTTCGGCAAGCGAGGGGGGGAAGTGAAAAGGCGAAGGCCGTCTCAGAAGGCTGGGAAGTCCCCGGGCCTTCTGAGGAGTTTTCAATGCCTTCCCCGAAGACACAGAACACTTCTCAGAAGGCGCGGGGTTTTCTGAGAAGTCCCGCCGCCTTCTGAGAAAGCCTTCTTCTTCTCACTTCCCCCCTCGCTCGCCGCCGATCCTCCTCCTCCTCCTCCTCCTCCTCCTCCTCCTCCTCGTCCACTCTCCCTCCGTTTCCTACCTCCTCCTTGATGCCTCAGAGGCGAAAGGGCGGGAAGAAATCATCATTGAACTGCCCTGGATTCTGAAGGATTTGGGCCTTTCAGAGCGTCCATGGGACGCTCCGAGGATACTTGGAGCCGTCTTTCGGGCGGTCTTGGGCTTTCTTGGAGGCGTGCTGGAAGCCATCCTGAGCGAAGTGGAGCCATGTAGTGTGATTTTGGATGCCATGTTAAGGCGTCCTGGGCCATCTTAGAGTTATCTTGTCCCAAATACCTCCCACGGATGCCCCTGGATAGTCACAAATATTTGGACACCGAAGGTTAGTCAATGATTTTGGCTTTGAGCGAAGGGGCGGTATGAGTCACAGTCCTCCCGCTGGAACCCGGCAAGTCGTATTTCAGGTCCCTTTTGCAACGCTCTTGGAGCGCTCTTGGGTGCTCATGGGGCTGTCATGGCGCTCTTATGGCACCCTCTTCGGGCTCCCTTACGTCGGCGATCTTGGAGCCTTACTGGGACCTCAGAACACAATCGGAAGCGTAAAGGCAAGAAGCCAAATTCATTGAAGCCATTTGGCTTTTTCTCTCGGGTGTCTCATCGGGAGGCTCCGTGCCCAATTGGAGCCGTCTTGTGGCGGTCTTCAGGCCTCCTTGATGTGTGCCGGAATCTATCTTGAATCATTTGGGCCGATTTCGTGCCCTCTTGGACGCCGTTTTGGGGAAGCCTACCGATGCACGCTCATACGCACACAGGTACATTTTCGTACGCATATTTACACGTATGCATGTATGCATGTATGTATGTAAGTAGGCAGGCAGGTAGGTGTATGGCATTTCATGTATGTAGTTATATATATATATATATATATATATATATTTATATGCAAAAGTACACACGCACACATACACATGCACATGCACATACACATACACATATACATATACACATACACACATGCACAGACACATACACATACACGTACACATGCACATACACCTACACATACACACGTACATACAACATACATACACACGGACATACATACATACATACATACATACATACATACATACATACATACATACATACATACACACATACATACATACACACATGCAGCCATACATACATACATACATACATACATACATACATACATGCATACATACACACTTACACACATACACACATGCATACATACATACATGCATACATACATACACATGTACATACATACATACATACATACATACATACATACATCCATACATACATACATCCATACATACATCCATACATACGTACACACATACACACAACCATACCCACACACATACATCCATGCATTCATTCATTCATACATACATACGTACATACACATACATCCATACACATACATACATACATACGTACATACATACATACAGACACACGCACACACACATATATATATATATATATAGATGTCTATCCCAGTCGGCCTCGGGCAGCTTCCCAGTCTCCCAGAAGGATTCAGACGCCCCCTGTGCAGGCACCAGACCGCCTATGAGAAGGCGTCTGGGCCCCCAGATGGGCTCCACGGAGCGCTCCAAGACGCCGCAAAGTGCTCCACGAAGCCACCCAGAGTGCGCCAAGACGCCCCGCGAGAGTCCCAAGACGCCCCAAGAGCGCTCCAAGAGGCCCCCCCCCCAGGTGGGCAAAACCGTCCCACCCCTGAAGGAAAACGTGTGTATATATATATATATATACGTGTGTGTGTATATATATATGTATAGTATACCACAGACATACTAATAATATATCCATATATGTATTTATATGTATATGTGTGTGTATATATATAAATTGTGAGCAGGCTCACTTTCTGCCTCCTCCGAGCTTCCAAGAGGCGCCCACGGAGGACCCAAGACTGCTCAAGAGAGCCTCAAAAGGGCCCAATCGAGCCCCAAGGCCGTCCAAGAGGCGCCCACGACGGCCCAAGAGAAGCCCAAGAGAACCCCAAGGTAGCCCCAAGAGGGCCCCAAGAGAGTGCCAAGATGGGTCGCGGGAAACTCCCTTCGCGGGTGCAGCGCCAAACATGCCCCCAAGAACCTCCCTGAAGCCTCCAGCATGCCCTTAAGACCCTGCCGGAGGCCTCCATAACGCTCACCACAAGCCCTCGGAGGCTCCAAGAGCTCCACAAGAGGCCTTTATCAACCCGTCCCAGAGGCCTCCCAACAGAGTCCAAGAAGCTTTTCAGAGATCCCTCGTCCACGACACAGGCACGCCACGAGTCCGCCACAGCGCCAGAGCGTGAGCATCCTTCGCTGCTGCCCCGCCGCCGCCGCCGCGCCGCAGTCGCCGCCGTCGTCGTCGTCGTCGCCGTCGTCGTCGTTGCCGTGGCGCTGGGCTCTGTTAGGATTAGCGTGCTAGGTTTAGGGTGTCAGGGTTGTGGTGTTCGTGTTAGTGTGTTCGGGTGTTGGTTAGGATGTTAGGGTAGGGTTGCCATGGTTAGGTGTTAAGGTCCGTTTGTCAGGGTCGGGTAGTAGGTTAAGGGTATTCGGATCAGGGTGTCAGGGTCAGGGTGAATGGGTTTGGGAGTTAGTGCTGGGGTTATGGTGTTCGGGCGTTCGAGTGTTAGGGTTCGGGTGTTCGGGTTTGGGTGTTAGGGTTCGGGTGTTAGGGTGATCGGGGGTTTGGGTATTTGGGAAGGCGCCACGGGATCGGTCCCGCGCCTACTACTATAGTCGTCGGAGTCGGCTAGAGCCTAAGCGTGTGCGTGGCGCGCGCGCATGGTTCTAGTAAACGTACATACACATGTTGATGTATACGGGCTATCTGGGACCCTCTTTGGGCCTTCTTGGGCCGTCTGAGTCGCTCTAATGCGTCGCGCGCCCTCCCCCGTTTCCAGCCTCCAGGGGAGGGTGTAGGGGGAGCGGTCAAGCTCCCAACGGGAACGCGACAAGCTATTTCGCTCACTTTCGCCCGCCGCCCTCCCACCACATAAGTAGCACCCGAGCGTGCCAGGTGCCCCAGGGGCCGACGCGTGGCAGGCGCGCCTGGTGCGCCAGACTTGCCACGTGCACCAACGCGGGCCACGACGCAAACAGATTGCTTCAACTGCGCCAGTGCACGTGGCAGCACACATCGGGCAACATGTCGGCCATCCGTGTCATAATCCATTGCAAAGTGGGGACGGGATGGTTAGCTTTGTATCTGGTGTGTGCACCCTCAATGACCGCCCTCTTTTTTTGACAGGCGTAGCGGGGCAGCGCACAGCAGATAAACATGAGCATCCCCCATCATCCCTGCTCAAATCCTAAGCAACGTGTTCGCGGGGGTCCCACTCACGATCCAGATGTCGTCGCCACCTGCGTTTTTTGGTTGACATATATAACGGGGAAGGTCGGTGGTGCTCCTGGGTACTGGTCGGCGGCCGGTCGAGTGGGGGAAAAGGTGTCCAACATTCAATAGGAGCAGGGGTAAACCCTACCCCGAAGGGGAAGGAATGTAGTTGGAAGAACCAACTCCCTGAGCCATCTACGCCCAGAGGCCTGGTGGGATGTTAAGCTTCATGGCCACAAGTGTTGAGGAAGTCTCCGGCGAAATGCCCGACCCTACTTGCCAACACGTCTCGTGGCGCGACGGAGAGGGTTTCTTTATGATACAGAGGGATGGAGGCTCAGGAGGAGGAGGAGGAGCAGGAGCAGGAGCATCAACAGGAGCAGGGGGCATATTAAGATGATGGTGTTTATGAGGTGGAGAAGGAGGAGGAGGAGGAGGAGGAGGAGGAGGAGGAGGAGGAGGAGGACAAGGAGCAGGATGAGGTGGAGGAGGAGGAGGAGGACCCAAGGCGCATCAATGATGTTGCAGAAAACCCTCTCTGCAAGTTCCGTCTTCATAGGTCCCTGGAGGAATTACAATCCATTGCGGGAAGTGCCCCATTGGAAGTCGACCGTCTGGGAATCCTGAATCGTTCCAAAACGCTATGCCTGGGACTTCAACGCCGTGAATCAACGTGGCTGTTGCGCCCTGGCGTTCCTGAATGGTGCCAGACCACCAGTCCGGGGCCGTGCCATTGCGTGTCAACG